CTCCCCCGCCCCGGCCAGGCACGCGCCCCACGCGGGGAGCAGCCGCCGCCGCGTCCTGGAGCAGAGCGCGAGTCGGTCCGGGCCGGCCTCGTGCTGCTGCCTCAGTCCCCCCGTCACCCTGGCCTGGCTCAGCCTCTTCCCGCTGCCCCGTGCAGGGTCCTCCCGCCAGCCTGGCCACCCGGACTGACACGGTCTCGCCGTTCCCTGGGTCCGGGCCGGCCTCGTGCTGCTGCCTCAGTCCCCCCGTCACCCTGGCCTGGCTCAGCCTCTTCCCGCTGCCCCGTGCAGGGTCCTCCCGCCAGCCTGGCCACCCGGACTGACACGGTCTCGCCGTTCCCTGTGGCTGCGACACGCGGAGCGGAGGGTGAGACTGGCGCTGCAGTGCGCAGGCATCCTCACGATGTTCCCTTTATGCCTCTGCATTTACAACAGTGAGGAAGCTGCTCCACCCCTGTCTGTGTCTGTCAGGTATTCCAGTGCCCAGGATTTTCAGCTCAAACTCCGCTGCCCTTTGCCATGTTGTTTTTCGGCGGCCTAGTTTTCCCTTCAAGTGTCTTATCTCTATTGCTGCTGTGGTGACAGAATCAGTTTTCATCTGTAGCACGTGGCCAATCTACCTCTAGTGCCTTTTGGCATTGAGGGTTCTGGTATCTTCTCGGCTGCACTGTGTCAATAGATCTTGGTATAAGATTGTTCTGGGCCAAAAGATATGGAGGATTTTTCTGAGTGGTTGTGTGGAATGAAGGCAGTTCAGATATGCCATACTTTCTTCTTCCCCAGCATTCTGCACTATAGAGTAGTGTTGAAAATACGCAGCCCTGCTAATCTTGAGTTTGGTTTTGACATTGTGTTTTGACTTCCAGACTGTGTTTAAACTCCTAAAGTTCTGGGTTTTATTGATTTTGTTCTGGATGTCCATATGCCCATAGAAGTTATCAAAAACTTTCTGAAATACTATGATGTTTATGTATAGTTGCAGTTGCCATTCTGAGCATTGTTCTACAGGCAGTCCCTGAATTACGCAGATCCGACTTATGTCGGATCTGCAGTTACGAACGGGGCCCTCCCTCTCCCTGGTCTTCAGCAGACCAGGGAGAGGAAGCAAAGCGGCGGAACACGCGGGCAGCGGTCAGCCCAGACGCGTCTGGGCTGTCCGCTGCCCGC